TGTAAAATTCATCATGATTGGGCAATGTTAACCACCGTCCAAAATAAGACGAAGAATATCCATCCAATAAAGTAGGCTCTTTGATCCATGGACAACTATACACAATGCAGTGGGCCACTTCCTCGCTCGTGTGTTCTGGTCTGCGTGACGGTGTGCTGAAATTTGTATCCTTGTGGAGACACGCACACAATAGGGAACAAAACATTGTAAAGGTCTTCACAGGGAAATTTCTATACATGTAGATGAATAGGTCTCCACAAGGTTTTCACGAAATAGATATATGGATTTTACTCAAAAACTAGGAATTTCCAAGATGGGTTAATCTGTCGCAAATGGAAGAGTTTTAAAAAGAGGGATATTAAGTCCAAATTTCAGCCAAGGAAATTAATTCTGGTTAAAACAAGAGCATTTTGAAACTTTACTTTCAAAATCAAAAACTTTACTACACGAGAACAAAGAAATGTCTCCACAAGGATACAAATTTGAGAGTGGGTGTGTTTACACAATGCTCAAGGCCAAAGATTAAGAGATGAGAGTGCAGGCATAGCAGTTTTAAGAGGAGCGTTTTTACTATGGAAGGAATTGAAATGAATTTGTGCAGCCTCAAAATTGCAAAAGAATGGCCAAAACACATAATGGCCTGTAACCATGGCAACGGGCAAAATAAAAGTTTAAAAAGTCTATTTTGGTTACTTGCTCCCCAAGTCGTTTCATCCCACAAAGTATTACAAAATTCGATTTTTTTTTTTTTTTTTAGCGTGGACACTTATTTACACGAAATATGAAGTATTTACACGAAATTACTCTTAAAAGGTACAACTAAAGGGAACTTGTCTATCCCGCAAACATGAAACTCCAGCACCATCAGTTCATACATCATATGCTGAGTTCATTGATGACAATTCAAATGTTTATTTCTCAATGTCATCATCTACTACATGTACAATTATTTACGGTACAATTTTTTACATAACAAAATAGAGATTCCTCCTTCAAATTGTGCTGTCCCTTACCAAACTTGACTGCAGTCATTTAGCATTCCTTTAGCATGCAATTAACATGCGAATGCTATGAGAACTGCCATTTGATAGCATTCACAAAAAGCCATGTCTGTACTTCCTAAAAGCATTTTTCATAGCATTCCTTGAGGATAGCAATCAGATAGCAGTTTTATAGCATGTCAGAAGCCCGAATTATGTAAATGAGCTATAGCATTCGCATGCTATGGAGAATGCTATTTAGGCATGCAAACGTGAATGCTATAACAGCATTCGCATGCTATGAGAATAGCATTCGCATGCTATGAGAATAGCATTCGCATGCTATGAGAATAGCATTCGCATGCTATGATGCATGCTATGTGAATGCTATCATGACTGCTATATCGTGACATGGACAGGGGCATCCTACAACATACATTTTCAATGTCACAATTTATACCAAAAATTACTTGTGTTATATCAGCTTTAATAATTTCATGTATTGAACCATATTTAACACAGCTAACACCATTTTGAAATTTAATAGACCTATGTATACAGACTGTGATCAAAATATATGAAATAAGAAAATTGTTCTTTAAGACTTTATCAGCCTCAGAATTGCTGTACAAACATGGGGACACTCTTTGTTTTTGTTTAACATTGTCATGCTTATAAAAGCAATGGCCAGAAATTTAATGCAACAATTCTCTGCTTATAATTTGAATTATCTTTGAAGCAACCAGTAGTCACTTTTATGCCAGTTGGCATCACAATTAAAACAGTTATCATCCGATATCCAGCTGATTCAAAAATTCAATCAATTGGATGAAGGAATGTTCAACATCACATACACCATGAACACTAACATAATCAAAGCCAGAATAAAATTGTCTTTATCTAGCCAAAAACTGAATACCCACCATGTAGGAATATAGACCCATTGGTAGTACAAACTGTAGACTTACCAAATACAAGCAGTTTGTGAGTGTGTTGCATACATGTGTATGGAGGCTCCATATTGCTTGGTTCAACTGTTGCTTTTAAGTTGTCAATTCCAAAGACTTTCAGCCAGTCATCCAGTGTATTTTGTCATGTACATGTACAACAATGTACAGGTTGAGTGCATGCATGTGAACATGAAATTATATCCACAAGCATTCATGCCATAAGGTAATGTCCATGCTTTCTACAATTTCTTGCAAAACTATGTGCAGCCTACTGCACTCTGCACTGACAATATTCAACTGACTGCAGTTTTCAAATTTCCCACACTGACTGTTAATCTGTGGAATGTACAAGGCCATCACTGATCATGTGACTTGTAGTCCATGATATGATTGGCTTATATATTGAAATGCTATTGTGCAGGCTATGTTTAGCCACGGAATGCTATACTTTAAAATTATTTTACAATTGACTGCTAAATTGGAATGCTGTACTCAATTTGCAGTCCTCCCTCTTTCACTTGCATGTTATGCAGAATGCTTTGAAGCTCGCATGCTATTTGGAATGCTATTTTCATTCTGCATGCTATTGAGAATGCTATATGGACTGCAAAAGTTAGCAGTCATCCAGTCATCATTTTCTGTGAATGCTATGTGGATGCTATAATAGCATGCACATGCTGTTTAAATGCTATTGAACTGCTATGCACATGCTATTATAGCAGTCTAGTTTGGTAAGGGGTAGTAGATGGAAATAAATTGCAATTGCCGATGACTTTTTCTGTTAGAGACCTGTGCAACCATGTATGATATGAATCTTATGATTGTTTTACAATTTGTCTTGCCGGTGATCTGCCGGTGTTTTATTTACAAAAATAAAATCAAAACTACCTATCCTTAAAATAGAAACTGGTCTTAATTAGAAATTTAAAACCAAGACAATTTTTTGAAAATATAAGGGCCCAAAAAACCTGCCAAAAAAGGAAATGCATCGAACGTGCCTCACCTCTTGCGTTACGATGTATGGTGTTAACACAAATTTCTTTTTTACTACCTATAAAACTAACCATAAAACTACCGATTATGCATAATATTTTGCGCTTTTCATTACAACGTACAAGTTTACAGTCTACTTCATTCACTTACCCAAATAGCTACTACATATGCATATTTATTCAGCCGACAGGCTCAAACGCTAAAAGATTTAATCAACCACCGAGCGCCCTCTCGGGGCCTACCCATCATGCTACGTCATGAATCCGCCATTATACTTCCTCTTTTTTCTTAGCGACGGCATCGTGCAGAAGCAAATATTTTTGCTCTCGCCTTTTGACGAGTTTTTGTACGATTTTCGCTTTAAGAGTTTCTGTTTTATAGAATTTATCAACCAAGTGAGTTGTGTAGAATCTGTAGAGTTTGTTTTGAGTTAAGTAGTTCTCATTTGGAGTGATTTTGGAGTCATTTTGCTTTCGTTTTTCTTTCACGTGGCGTAGCAGGCTTTTCAGCCTTTGTCTGACACCGCGTGCGGCGGGCCAGGTCGGCACCGCGGGGCTAGCCCAGTGCCGGGTAGGCATCTTGGGTTCTCCCTTTGGGATCGAGTGCAATCCCATTTTAGCCGAGTCGGCTTTCCTGAGTTATTATTATTATTTCTGTTGTACAGTTATCTTATAATAATATTTCTTTGTCAAAAAAAAAAAAAAAAAAGCAGTGCATTTATTTTATGACTCCATAGAAATCCATAAAGACCTTTAGGGGAGACAGTGCGTCGTATATCCCCGGAGAGGAGTGCGGTTATTCTCCACAAGGTCTGCTAGTTGCCCCACACGTGGGGCCCCTGTTCCGGAAGTCAGACTTTCGGCCGTTCAGGGGACTAGCGAAACGTTTCGAAGAATATAGCGGTTTCGGCCGTTCCCTGTTCTCCGTTCGTTTCCCCTAAGCTCGCAGTGACCTAGGGCCTAGCGAGACGAGTACAGTGGGGGTATATCGACAGAGGTCGTTCCCTTCCCCCCTGACTGTTTCAGCTAGCTCGGGGAGCTAGTAAGCTAGAAGAGGACGTTTCGTCGGGTATATCGACAGAGGTCGTTCCCTGCCCCTCGTCCGTCCTAAGCTATCTCGGTAGTGCGGTGACAAACGAGATAGCGGCGAGATATTCGTGGGTATATCGGCCGCTGGCCGTTCACTTCCCTCGGCCGCCTCGCCAGGCGTGTAAAGAGAAATTCCGTGGGGTACAACGACCAGCGGTCGTTCCCTTCCCCTCGGCTGTTCTCAACTGCATATATCTCAGTAGTACAATAGTACGAAAAGACGAGATAGCAGTGAGTCCCCACGCAGGGACATCGCCGTAGTTTGTAACGGTCATCCCGTGTTTACGCGTTTTGACCGGCATCAAACATACGTCCTACGGTATGGAACACCGTGAGGATACTGGGGATAAAACTCCCCGTGTAACCACGGCCCCCCAGGCGACCAGCCGTAAGGGTTCCGCGGTTAAAAAGGCCACATCAAAGGCCACCAGCGGTCCCAAGGGTAAGACCCAAAAAGGGACCAATAGTCGCTCGATTACGCCTCCGGTCTCCGGACCATCGGCGTCACCTAGCAACCCGGCGTCGATTTCCCGTGGTTTCGCGGGAATTTCTTCGCCTCGTCCCCCCGGTCTGCTGGCTCCAGCAACTCTCGGGGACGACCAGTCACGGAGCGGTAAAAGGATTCAATCCTCACCGGCCCCGTCTGCGCGTTCATCGCGCTCCGAGCATCCTGCTTCCACCCGTGCGGAATGGGCAGGACTCGCGGTGACTGACTTGCCTCCTCCCCCAATTCGGGCCACGGACTCGCAGTCAACATCATTCTTCGATCAATGCTCCGGAATTCCCAGGATATTATCAGAGTTTTCATCCAGTGAATCAAGTCACCCAAGCAAGAAAAGGAAACACAAGGCCGCGCCGTCTTTTTCAGGGGATTCCCCCCGTAAGTCGACGCATCGGAAAAAGAAAAACAAAGGTGTATCCACAGAAATCTTTCTAAAAGCTTTCCAGGACATCAACGTTTCGCTAGCAGCCCTTAATAAACAACAACAATGGAGATCGGCCCCAATGGTGACTCAGAGGTCGCTCCCGGCGGCCACATTTCCGGACCCAAATCCGGGTCTAATCCTGCCGGATCCGGGTGTGATCCGGCCGGATCCGGGTCCAATCCGGCCGAATCCGGGCGCGATCCGGCCGGATCCGGGCTTAATTCAGCCGGATCCGGGCGCAATCCTGCCGATTTCGGGCGGGATGAGAGAGGAACCATTGACCCTGGCAATTTTTTGCCATTTGAGACTCAGCTGAGACTGGTTCAAAGAGATATGGTTCGGGTACTGCAACTACCAGAGAGCAGTAAACCAGAGACCACCCGTCGTTCTTTCAAACGCCGGACTGGCGTGGAGGAACCTCGGGATCCAGCTTTCCCAACTATGCCGGTGGATCGTTTATGCGCCGATCGCATACAACGCATCGCCGATTCAAAGAAATGGACGGCTTTCAACAAAAGGTCGGCAGCCTATTTCCAATTTCCAGAAAAGGACCGAAACGATTTCTTTACGGTTCCTTCTATTCCGGATACGGCCAAGGACAAATTGACTGGAGATAGCGCCAAAGCCCCGACCAAGTCAATATTTGTCGATAAGACTAGAGCAAAGATGGAGGATACAATGAAGAAGGTCGATGAGGCGGCTAGATTTGGTTCACAAACAAGCGCCTTTTTACTTCTGTTATCTGAATATATCGTCTGCGCATGTGAGGAAGATTCACAAATTCCAGCCGATATGTTAGCAGCGGCCTTCCGGTGTCTGGACGAAATACTCCGTTTCTCTCTAGACCAATTTACGAGAATCTCTATCCTGTCTGCCAAGTCACGTAGGACTAACGTGATGGATGCACTTTACATACCACACGAGGGCGCTAAGAAGAAGTTAGAAGACCTTCCTCTTATGGGCAAAGACCTTTTCGGAGGCAAATTCCAGGAAATTCTGGAAGTTGAGGCTAAATGCACGAATTGAGACAGCAGACAAACTGAGCTTGAAGAAGCCTTCAGCCACTAACAAGCCCAAGTTCTCTGGGAAGAAGGCAACGAAGGGTGCTCCCTCGTTTCGCCCTGCCCTTAAGAAACCGTTCAAGCCTTTTCGCCAACAGACGGCCAAGGCATCAGCTGGTGCAATGGTTTCAGCTCCACGCCCCTACTCTGCCCCTGCACGCCAATTTAGCGGCCGGGGACGTGGCGGTGGGCAATCGGCCCCCCGCTCTGGGTGGCATCGGTGACGCCCCTACCGAGCCGACCCCGACACTGGGGCCCGTCGGGGGTCGTCTCAGAAATTTCGTAGGGCCCTGGAGAGAGATCACCTCCGACGCATGGGTGCTTTCTATAGTCAGCCACGGCTATCAACTAGAATTTACAAGCACCCCTCCGTTGGAAATATGTGTTTGCGAAACACCGGTTCCGGCAAACACAGACAAACGATTAGCTCTCGAACAAGAGATCTCATCCCTCATCGAGAAGAGAGCGGTCCGCTTGGTGCCACCAATGGAGCAGTTCAAAGGCTTCCTGTCCTCCTTCTTTCTAACACCAAAGAAGGCGGCTGGCGAATGGCGGCCGATAATCAATCTGAAACCGCTCAACAAGTTTGTCAGACCCAAACGTTTCCGAATGGAAACTCTCCATGTAGTTCTAGAGTCATTACCCACACCAGCGTGGGGAGCGTCATTAGACCTAAAAGACGCATACCTACACGTCCCCATCTTCCAAGAGCACTCCCGATTCCTTCGTTTTCGGTATCAGGGGCGCACTTACGAGTTCACTGCCCTTCCCTTCGGGCTATCAACCTCGCCAAGAGTGTTCACCAGGGTTGTGCGGGCAGTGGCATCACGTCTCCGACGAGAAAACATAATGATTTTTATGTATCTCGACGACTGGCTGATAGTGGGAAAATCAGAAGGCCAGACTGCTCAGAATTTGAGGGATACTTATACGTTGACGACGAGGCTAGGCTTCATCATCAACGAAAAGAAGTCCCACCTAATCCCGTCCCAGGAAATCACTTTCCTGGGAGCAGAGATCGATTTACGCAGGGGCATAGCCGTCCCCACAGGGGAACGTGTTACCAGCCTGCTGAAGTGCGTCAAACTTTTCCTATCCGTTCAAGTCGCTCCAGCCCGAGCTTGGCTGAAACTTCTAGGGTTCATGGCCAGCTTAGTGGACCTGGTTCCATGGTGCAGACTGAGGATGCGTCCTTTGCAAATGCATCTTCTGGCACATTACAGACCAAAGACAGATCCAATCTCTCTATTGGTCTCGATCGACGATGTCATTCGGCCACACCTTCGGTGGTGGCTATTGGAACAGAACATTCGGTGCGGACGGAGCTTCCCCAGAGGGGATCCTCACGTCATAATCTCCACCGACGCCTCCAACGAGGGCTGGGGAGCCTCCCTTCCCCCTCGACAAGCTGCAGGCACTTGGGACGACAACACTCGGTCCCTACATATGAATGTTCTAGAACTCCAGGCTGTAGTCAATGCCCTACACCACTTTCAGGCAGACGTAGTGGGTCGGTCTGTTCTAATCAAGACCGACAACACGACAGTGGTAGCATATATCAACAAACAGGGCGGTACAAAATCACCCCAGCTGTGCTACCGGACTTGGGAAATGTTTCAGTGGCTAATCAGACACAAAGTCGATCTACGTGCCATTCACATTCCTGGTGCGGAAAACGACATAGCGGACTCTCTCTCCAGAGGCAAAGTAGTTCCCACGGAGTGGTCATTGAACAGGAGGATCGTACATCAGATCTTCTCGATCCTAGGTCATCCACACATAGACCTGTTCGCCTCAGCAGTCAACACTCAGCTCCCGGTGTTCTGTTCGAGAGCCCATCATCCTCATGCATGGGCCTCCGACGCACTATCAATAGACTGGACAAACATGTTCGCTTACGCCTTCCCCCCGATCTCAATCCTTACAAAGGTCATCGGGAAACTGGAGAGAGACAGGTGCAAGATCCTGCTGATCGCCCCCTTTTGGCCGCGTCAGCCCTGGTTTCCGCGACTGGTGAGGCTCCTAGTGGGCTCCCCACTAATCCTCCCAGATCGTCACGACCTACTTGTTCAACCTCAGTCCCGGTTCCGACACCCATCTCCGGGAGATCTCCACTTAGCGTGCTGGCCACTGTCAAGCGTGCCTACCGAGCAGCAGGTCTTTCTGAAGACGCTGCAGCTCTAGCCGCAAAGGGACGTCGTCTCTCAACACGACGAATCTATGACAGTCGACTACGACATTATAGTAGGTGGTGCGCAGAACAGGCTGTGGATCCGCTCTGTGCTTCTTTAAGCCATTGTTCGGAATTCCTACTGTCATTGTTCAGAACCAATTTGTCAGTAGGAACGATACGAAATTATCGATCAGCCATAGCAGCAATTCACAAAGGCTTCGCTGATGGCTCATCTATCTCCTCTAATGTTGCAATCACTAACCTACTCTGGGGAATGTTCAACGAGAGACCTACAATCCGGAAACTGGTCCCATCCTGGGATCTAGGTCAGGTCCTGAACATTTTGGCCAAGGCTCCATACGAGCCCTTGGGCCAAGCACCCCTCATTCATGTATCTATAAAGTTGGCCTTCCTGCTCGCAGTGGCTACCGCTAGGCGTAGCAGCGAGATCCATGCGTTGACTTTAGATTCGGGACATATCCGCTGGGAACCAGGTGGGGTTCGCCTGATCCCAAAGGCGTCCTTCCTGACGAAAAATCAGACGGCAAGTTTCAGCCCTCCTGATATTTTCCTCCCAAAAATAGAGTCAACCTCTTCTATCCCCTCAGACAAATTATGGTGCCCAGTGCGCGCCCTAAAATGGTATCTGGCACGCACTAAGTCACTTAGGGATAAATGCATGCAGCTCTTTATTACAACCATAAAGCCACATGGCCCCGCCTCAAGGGACACCATTGCGCGTTGGGTAGTAGCTGCTATCAAATTTGCGAATGCGGACTGGCCATCCAAAAAGGATGCTTCTGTCCAAGGCCTTGTCCGAGCCCATGACGTATGCGCCGTAGCGGCGTCCTTGTCATTTTTTAGGGGAGTCCCTATTTCAGAGATTTCTCAAGCAGCATGCTGGAAGTCTGCCACGACATTCACATCCTGCTACCTACGTGATGTACTCCAGACTGGAGGGAACACAGGGAAGATGGTACTGACACAACACCAGTCCTCGTCTACGTACGAACCCTACCCTGCGCAGTAGTTCTTCCCGGCCTGGCCAGGAGACTAACTAAGCAGGTAATACATTTACATGTATATTCAATCTAAATGGTCTAAATCATTATGTATATATATATATACTGTTGTTTAACCATTTGATTTCAGGGCGTCTCGCCTACCCAGCCACCGATTGTCGGTGCCACTCTATGCATATGTAGTAGCTATTTGGGTAAGTGAATGAAGTAGACTCCCCCCCCCCCCCCCCCCCCCACAGAAGTGTGGGACGAGTCTACGAGTGATACTTACCCAAATAGCTTCCCGCCCTCCTCCCCACTCTCGGCTCGCGTTACGATGGTTTTTCACCTTTAGTGTGCGAGAAAAAAGAGGAAGTATAATAGCGGATTCATGACGTAGCATGATGGGTAGGCCCCGAGAGGGCGCTCGGTGGTTGATTAAATCTTTTAGCATTTGAGCCTGTCGGCTGAATAAATATGCATATGTAGTAGCTATTTGGGTAAGTATCACTCGTAGACTCGTCCCACACTTCTGTGGGGGGGGGGGGGGGAACTCTGTTACATATCGTTGTACATGCCCTTTCGAATTAAATTTACTTTGTAAACTCTAACAATGTAACTAAGAGGACAGTCTCTCGTTACGTTGTGAATCCACTGCTGTTCCAGAGGCTCACAGCGCAACATTAGGATTATGCGCATGCGGCAGTTTTTCCGGGCTGTGCCACAGAATGAGTATTCACGAACTCGTTCATAAAAACAAATCGCTGGGAACGGCCTTCCAAAAAAATGCTCATGATGCATGAAATATTTACGGAAACCATCAGAATTGTCCCAAAGTAGGTTCAAGAATAAATACCGGTAACTTGAGGCCAATTCTGGCATGACAGACGGGACAGATTTACACTACCTTTTTTGTCAAAGGCCTGCCACAACCAATATGTAAGGTGTAACCATCTAATTTATGTATAAAGTCAAAGTAAACACTCTACAGGGTGGATACAAACAAACGAAACTGATATATTATTGCTACTTGGAACAGAAGTAGGGCACATGTGAATCAAAGGGAGATATCCTCTGTTAGGGTTGAATCTCCTCTTTATAGTACCGGTACGGTCAACTTAAGTTAAGACCTACCGTATCGGTACATGTAGAACAAATTGCAATAGAAACCATTCAAGCGTCAAACGACTTAACATAAATACACAAACAACATGTGAAAAATCTAATTGTTTCTGTGGAGTGGAAGGGTGTTGTTTTTCAAGCATTTTTTCAGATAAAATTTTTGGACATTTTGTCCTCGAACAATTCATCTGGTGACTTGGTGCGATTTACATGTCTATATACATGTAAGCTAATGTTTAGGATTCATGACCACAGGCAAGTGCCGCAGACGACTGTTTCAAATGATAAGTTTAATATACAGGGCACTACGGATGGAGTGGACGATTTTCCACCTAAACTTTGCGCAATAAGTCCACAGACAAGATACAATTATTTGCAAACAGGGCTAGGGATGTCTAAACATCATTTTGATCATACACAGATGGAAAATGGTTGGACAGTGCATACATGGACCGTTTTAAAAGTAAAGCGAAAATCTTTAATAAAATATTATTGATTGAGCGCCTGAAAATGATGTGTTGGATTTGGTTTAGAATATTTAGGAATTACTGGGCTCAGGTTGTGAAGCTTTATACAGTGCATTTTGTTAGTACAGTAAACTCCGGCTAAACCGACATCGTACAACTTGTCAAATCGCTCAAGTCGGCCGTCTGACTAAAGCCCCGATTGTCTGTAATGCATTTCCATTGAATTTTTTATTTCTAAGTCGGCTTTTAGAAGTCGCCATTTCGCTCAAGTCGTCGTGTTACTCTTGGTCCCCTTTCCATTAAAAGCATTACAAAATCCTGTGTGTAAGTCGGCATTCAACAAATCACGCATTGGCATCGACTTCCTGTACTGCGGTTGGCAAAGTGTCGAGTGAAAAGTGGTTTCGCACGGCCCGTGATCGCTGCATGCATCGGTGTCGAAAAAGGGTGTCCTACTGCATACCACTACGCGACGCTATAGGATCTTTGCTGCATACATCGCATGTATGCATCGTGAGCATATCAATACCAGTACCCCCTCTAGGCTGGACGCATGCGCTCTGTCCATTTTGGGGGTTTTCTTATTAAATGACTACTGCATGCTACCGGTATGCTGCAGTCAATGCGTGCGTGGTATATACCGGACCACGCACACATTTAATTCGTTACTGTGCACGTACATATGAATCGTGGTCTCCACTATCAATACCCCAAACGTGATGATACAATTCGAGGATTAATTTGCTGGATTCAACTCAAGCATTAAGGAGATAATCCAGGGTAAATCGAAGCCAATTAGTGCAATGAATCATGTGTCCAAAAGACCATTCATGTAAGTCAGCAAAATGACGACTTGTAGCATATATCGGCATTCGCGTCAGTCGTCACCGGTTTAGCCAGAGTTTACTGTACATGAAAATATGAAACAAAACATCTCAAAACACTGGGATCACAAAGAAAAAAATAACAGCGTTGCTGTTGAAACCCCTCAGCCAGAGTCAAGTTATCATCCGGAAACCATTAACCTTTAACTCAACGTGGTGACCTTGACCTTTGGCCTTTGACCCCAGAACCAGTCCCAACATGCCTGTACCAATGGGAAACCCCCTACCGAAGTTAGACACCAACATTTCATTTCTAACTCAAGTTATCATTCGGAACCATTTACATTGAACTCACCACGGTGACCTTGACCTTTGACCTTTTGACCCCAAAACCAATCCCAACTTGCCTGTACCCAAGGGCAAACCCCTACCTCAGTCAGACACCAAAATCTCATTTCTAACTCAAGTTATCATCCGGAAACCATTTACCTTTAACTCACCATGCTGACCTTGACCTTTGACCTTTTGACCCCAAAACCAATCCCAACTTGCCTTCTCCCAAGGGGAACCCTCTTCCAAAGTTAGACACCAAAATCTCATTTCTAACTCAAGTTATCATCCGGAAACCATTTACCTTTATCTCACCATGCTGACCTTGACCTTTGACCTTTTGACCCCAAAACCAATCCCAACTTGCCTACTCCCAAGGGCAACCCTCTACCAAAGTTAGACACCAAAATCTCATTTCTAACTCAAGTTATCATCCGGAAACCATTTACATTTAACTCACCACGGTGACCTTGACCTTTGACCTTTTGACCTCAAAACCAATCCCAACTTGCCTTCTCCCAAGGGCAACCCCCTACCGAAGTTACAACCCCAAACAACATTTCTAACTCAAGTTATCATCCGGAAACTAAGCTGCCCGGACGGACGTACGGACGGACAGACACACATACATCCGGACGGACGGACGCCCTAGGCGATGACAATACCCCTCGAGCCTCTCGGCTGAGGGGTAAAAAGGTTAATGGGCGAGGTTGATGAGAAACAGATGTAGTTCTGTACATGAGCTTTCC